AAAGACTTGTGTCGTTAAAATTTCGTAGGAACGAAGTTACGGAAAATCAATTAACAAACGGAGACGTAACAATACTCTTTTTAAGGCGTTAAATTTAACTTGAGTATTTCATAAGAAATTATGTTTGTAGTTATAATACAATGGAAACAGTTGATTGGTAACTGACAAAACAATATTAACGATGAACCTGATAAAATTTATTACATCAGGTTTTTGTTTAATTTTGCAAGATTTATAGACAAACAATCCACCCATTCAAAATTTGTTGGAGAATTAAGTCTAATTAGTTGCAGTTTAAACTCAAATATTTAGGTAGAAAGTATAAACAAAAGCTTTAATTGAAAGCCAGAAGAAAGGAAGCATCAATAAATTTACCCTAAAATGTTTCAAAAATAGATTAACATAAAATACTTCTGTGATCTCCAAAGTCAGCGTGAGACTTTTTCAATAAGTGTATATATATTTTTTGTGTCCCTACATATATAGCATTGGAAATATCTGTGGAAACACACAGGTGATACATATAAAAGAGGCACAAACAGTGAGTAATTACAACAAATCAAATTTTAGAACATTTTACTCACTTTAGGTTTTCGTTCTTAATACTTCACTATGTAATGTAGAAACTAAGTCTTAATAATTACTTTCTTTTGGATGAAAATTTGAGATAAATGCATTTTTATGTAGTTTTATTTTCAATCTTGGGGCATATGGTGTTAAAATGGACTCATATTACTTTTAAATTTAATTGAATAACCATTTATTAGAGTTCTAATGAAGTTTTTATCTGCTTTGTAATTTAAAAGTTCCTATACTCTAAACTTCTGTAATAACTCATAGTTAGTAAGTTAATTACTAATGAGGTCTAATGTGTATTGTGTCACACTATAGGTAATATATTCATTTCAAGAAATGTTAAATCAATACCTACAACTTCCAGAGGAGGAGATTCTTCTGATGATGGTTTTGAGGATGATGATAATGATGAAGAAGAGGTCACATATAAAATAGGTAAAGATCAAGCAATCCAATTTGAACAGCTAATTGAAATTATGGCAATAAAGATTTTGATCAAAAACAATTATAGTTAGTGTAATTTTGTCACCTAATGGTAAGAGATTGTTTAATCACATAGGTGTTGCTGTTTATAAGAAATTTAATCTCACTTATTAAATAATTATACTGTAGTCCAATTGTTATTTTCAGTGTGATTTGTTTGTGGTTGATGTTACTGAACTAAAATTATCAACCTCAAAAGTCTGTTTCTGACAAAAGATTTAAATATTTTAAGATCTAATTACTTCTCTGTTTGATTACTAAATGAAAATCTGATTAAAAGTTTATGAACACCTATATTTTTGTAAAACTACTTAAAACAACTGTGCTTATAAAATGAATATTACTTTAGAAAGAAATAATGAGGCATTGGTAATTCTGATGATCTACACTGAGATTATTGTTTTTCTTTAGATTATCAGTAATAAATTACTAGTTTGTTTTTTTCCAAAACTAAGAAGATGGTGCCAATGGATTGATATTTTATCTGCGACTAAGATGTCAATACCAATTTTTATAATTCATAGAACTTTCCAAAACTGCTTTTGACCATTTTTATTTCCTGAAATCATTAAGATAATTAGAAAATATTAATACTGTTTTATTTCTCTGAAGTTTGAGAATTATTATAATTTTTTTTTGTATGACCGAAAGCACTGTGATCTAAATGTATTGTTTTTGATAGGTAGGTAAAAAAACTAATATCATACTCATTACATCAACTAGGAGACCTTGGGCATGTGACCTCAACTGCAAATCCTCAAGTAGAAGAAGGAGACTGTCGGTACTTGCCACTAGAAATCTTGCATGAAGATTACAGTTTCTTACCAAAAGCAGATATTTTTTCCCTTGGTCTCACTATTTTTGAAGCAGTAAGTAATTCGTACATGGGAAAATTAAAGGAAAACAGTACAACTGAACTGAAATATTCTTATAAAATAATGAATTGTTAAGTATTCTATACTTCAAAAATTTTTACTTGATTATTTATTACAGAAATGAATAGAACTGATAAAAAAAGCATAATTGTTTATTCAAAAATTAATCCCATTGATAAATCATTATTGATACTTTTGTTTTTGCTACAACAATTACTGTTATCAACTAAATGTATTAGACATTTTGCCATTGTTTAGTCAAGTTCAAATTTGCACATTTTTAGTTTATGTGAATTGTTTATATATGTATGTTACATAAACACCTACTTACATTTACTTCACTTCACATGCATAGTTGTGGCATTTTATAAACACGTGAACAAGTTCATAGGTGATTAATTAACAACTAATTATTAAAAATACTTGTATTTAGTAATTCCAAGTTTCTGATTTTGTTTTGGTAGTAATAGTAAAACTAAATATAACGTTGAAGAATATAACGAAGATTTAAGAAATTTAATTTTGCTTAATAGGCTGGAGGTGGCCCCTTGCCAAAGAATGGAGAGTGTTGGCATTTGATAAGAGGTGGTTACTTGCCCACTCTTAGTCATTGTTCTTATGAATTTAATAAACTATTAATGGTAAGTGTTCTGTGTCTGATACAAATATTAGCAGGCTCTCTGTAATACGAAGTTCTGTATTAAAATTTGTAAAACATATATCCCTGTCACAGTGGTCTCGATGTCTAAACAATGGCTGTCAGCAATGTTGGTAGCTCAAACACTTCCAGATGGTTATATCTGGATAACATTGAGAAGGCAGTCCTCCAACAAGCACTAAGCCAGATGTAAAATAAAAGGCAATCAATCCGCATGAGCAAATAAAACACAAAAATTATTTTGTGCTAAAGTAAACCAAATTTGTCCTTTTACAGATGTTTCTTTCATTTTAGTGTGTTTTCAAGACCTGTTAATTAAAAATCATACAATATAAATTTGCTTGTTTTTAATTAATATTTCATGAAAGTAACAAATAGGGTGAAAATATATACTAGGCATCAACATTTAAC